AACCGGCGCCTCCGCTGCCCCGTCCGCGGGGCCAGGCAGGTGGCATCTCCCCAGGCTGTGCGCAGGGGCAGTTTGTCCCCAGGTCACAAGGCAGAAAGGAACTTTTCGGGGTGCGCGGGCTTAGGAGCTGAGATTATCTTGGAGCGGAGTGAGATGGGTGTCAAAAAAAAAGAAAAAAGAAAAAAAAAAAGAAGCTTCCGCGACGGGTCCGAGGCTAGTCTGTTTTATTTTTGTTTTTGTTTTCTCTAGCCGGGGAGCTGTGGGGAGGCAATGGGAAGGGAGAAACGGGCCGAGGGGAGAAACGCGTGGGTGTCTACACGTTTGAATGGTCAGAACTAATGAACTTTAGAGGCCACAGGCGCTGGACAGAAACTACCTGCCTGGCCGACAAGTCACCCCGTCTGCAGAGTGGACACCTAATCTTGCGGGAAAATGACTATAGTTGTCCCTGCCCCCGCCACCACTCTTTTTTTCTCCCTTCTTATTTTATAAGAAGATGAGTCCTTCTGAAGTCTGTTTTTAAAGCTAGCACCCACCTCAAGGCTGTAAGTTAAGATCTGGGGTTTGCCCAGGCAGCCTATCGTGAGAACGCCTCCTTGTCTCATTCCTGCGTCCACTGCATCCTGCATTCCAGAAGATGCATGGTGGAAGGGAGGGAAATATGGCTCCAGCAGGCGCCCAAGCCCAGCGCACTGGGTACTGCCGGGTCAGGTGTGGGTCTTTCACTGGAGAAGGGAGAGTGGAAGGAAAAGGAAGCATGTCCCCTCCCCCCCTCTCCTCCTGAAAACCACTCAGAACCACTCAGGGGAGGACCTGCCAGAGTCTTTGTGAAGACCTGAGGGCTTTCTGGGTGGAGATAAGAGTATTGGAGGTCAGCTTCATGCAAATGGGTGTCCTTGGAACTGTGAAATCTGAACTAGAAGGTCAAAGGGACAAAGAATGGGAAATGAGGAAAAGTGACAGATCCTGAAGAGGATTAATTCCGAGGAAAGCGAGTGGTGAAGAAGTAGAGATATTTGACACTTCTCTCCTCCTGTTTCTGTTTGTGTGTGTGGCTGCGGTTCTGGTCAGTAACTGGATAAAAGAAGACTGGAAACATGTCAGAGTTTTGGTTAATTTCTGCCCCTGGCGATAAGGAAAATTTGCAAGCTCTGGAGAGGATGAACACAGTCACCTCCAAGTCCAACCTGTCTTATAACACCAAATTCGCGATTCCTGACTTCAAGGTAAAGTTCCTGGGGAGGAGGAGGGAGATGATGGATTGGGTGGGGTGGGAGGGTGTCTTCTGGGAAGCCAAGGAGAAAAGAACAGAGCAAAGGCAGCGTCACTGACAAGCAGCTTGGGAGTGAGTGTGGACGGGGGCAGTCACTGGTCTGAATGGGACTTCACATCATAGCCCAAATTAACTGTGGTACCTATGGACTTAGAGCCACAGGATGGAATGAATAGGGAGAGAGGAATGTGGGGAGCAGTGTCTTCAAATGGGAACAGCATCTTACACACTTGGGTTCTTGTGAGTTTCTCCCGGATGCTTCCTGTTTTGTCTTCAACATCTAAGAGTAACAATATAGTTTAAATGCAGGCTTGGAGAGCTTCAGCCTTGATTGTCCTCTTGCACTGAGGGCAGGGCGGGAAATCCAAGATCCTTCTGGTTCTGATCGAGAGGAAGGAAGGAGATTTGATGGCGCGTGAGTGTTTAAGAGCTCTCGCAGTGGAGAACAAAGTTAAGAAACAAACACGAAAGAGGAGAGAGAGAGGTACAATCTTCTTACTTCCACCAGAGTGGACTTTCAGCAGCGCTTCCTAAGATTGTAGGTTTCCAAGGAGACGCGGCATTGTGGATGATGGAGGAATAGCACTAGCTATTCACCCAGAGGTGCCTCTTCTAGCAAAGTGCAGTGTAAACCTCTTCTAAACCTCAGTTTGTCCCTGTGCCGAAAGAGCCACACCTTCCGCTGCCATAGTTGTTGGTGATGCTGCTACATTTACTGGCATTTTTCGAGCCGCATGCTGGCACTTTAAACGCGTCACCTCGAATCTTTGCAAGTCCCACATTATAGATCGGGACGGTCTGAGAAAGGAGACCAGGGCTGTAGAGCCAGTAAGTGGCAGCTCTGGGTTCTGAATCCGTATCTTGCTGATTTTTCAAACCCGCCACTGTCCAGGGACAGACGCCGTGACAGTAATTCAGCACGCTCTCATCATTTACTCTGTGTGAGGCCCTGAGCTAGTCTGGAGGGTACACAGATAAAAAAGACAGGACCTTTGCCCAAAGTTGCTTAAAATCAAGTTGCTTGAAAAGCAGCAACGTCACTTACTAGAGATACTCAGGCTTCATAATTTCTTCATTACTTTTTAATGCCTGATTTGTGGTTGGTAACATGACAACATGGTTTCCCTTCTTCTGTGAATAAACCTTGAAATACAGTTTGTGCTCTGTAATAATCCCCACACAGATCGTTGTAAGTAATCAGAGAAGAAGAGGGCTTCCACGAATGTGGAGGTGGGAGGAAAAGCAGCCCCCTGCCCCAGCAAGATCATCGTTCGTAACCTCAGAGATGAGCAGGGAAAGGGGTTGGTTGGATTCTCTTGGAAGAGAAAGGCTTTTAGAAATAACTTCTTTAACTTGCTTTCTGGTATAGCTCTTTCTCGGCTGTGGGGATTAATCCATGACTAGCAGACCACCATTCTAAGAGGAAAATGAGCTGAGGGCAGACCACGACACGGTAGTCCCCTCTTCCTAAGACAAATGTGACAGTCTGTCTTGTTGGCACACATATAAACAACCCCAAATCTTCAGGTTTCCCTGAAGAGCTCTTCCCAGCTTCCAGTTTGGCTGTTGACCAAGGTCAACTAACTCAAGATGGAAGTTACAGAATTCTTCACGCTGTCTGTCACTGCAAAGGCACCCACACGTCTCTGCCATGAAACAGGAGCCTCTAACTTTATGATCTTTCTAGGTGGGGACCTTGGATTCCCTTGTTGGCCTCTCCGATGAGTTGGGGAAACTCGATACCTTTGCTGAAAGGTAAAATATTTCTTATTTACTACACACAAGTGAGAATTCGACATTGTTGTCAGAGGACACAGTGCTCTTGCTTTGGCTGAGTCCATACTTGTCCTAACCTGGTCCTAGAAGTCACTGGAAAGAGCCAGGGAGGGTCCATGTGAGGGCGCCTGGTCAACAGCAGCTTGTGGGGTCCTTGCATAGTTTTGTTGCTGGAGGCAGCGTTTTTCAAAAGGAAGAGGACAAATGTACATAAGGTGCTGGAACACTTAGAAAAAGAATCGATGCACTCCACCCCCCGACCCCAGGCTTTTTGTTTGCATTTGTTTTTGTAGTAACGTGTGCACATAGTAAAAAATTTAAAGTACAAAAAGAAGGTTCTCCAGTGAAAATTGTTTTCCTCTTTCTTGTTCCTTCATTTCTTCTCGTTCAAGGCAATGTTATTATAATTTTCTAGGAGACCCAGAGACAGCCAGTACTTGTACAAGTAAATATGAATATAGCCTTAAAAATAGTTTTATACGAATGACAGCATGCGTTCTGCAGCTTGCTTTCGCCACTTAATCACATATCTTAGAGATAGTTTCATGTCACTCCATGACTGCACGTTCTTTGTACTAGCTGCATTACCTTGAATAGATGTTGCCTTAATTTGTTTAAATTTCCTTATTGATGGACATTAAATTTCGTGTAGACTTTTGCTATTATGAAGACTCTAAAACGACTATCCTTTCCTGTACTTCTTTGTACACAAGTAGAAGTAGGATAATTTAAAGTCGAAATGCTGGATCAAAGTGTATTTGTATGTCACATGTTATCCATCTGTCCACATTGGCCTCTGAGAAGCTGTTCCTGTTTTTACTCTCACCCAAAGTATATGAGGATATTTTAGAGTCTGCAAATCATTTAAAAAAAATTATTCCAAATCCGGTACAAAACCCTTGAAAAGATTTATAGATCATAGAAAAGCATGGAAAAGAAAATACAGATCATCCGTAATTTCGCCACCCAGAGATAACCACCATTGTTATATTTTCAGGATGTACAACTGATTTTCCTACACATATTATTCATGCATATATGTATTAACAAAGGTGACATCATGTTATACATATTACTTAACTTGCTTTTCCCTTCGAGTCTTGTTCTTTCTATCTCACCATTAACTATTCCACTGTAATATTATGTTACATAGATTAGCCATGATTTATTAGGTAGTTTTTAAATAATAGTGATCCTTTGTTTCGGTGAAGATAAGAACCTGTTGTTTAACAGATGATTTTTAAAAAATGCAGATGGGATAGATGAGGAGACAGTCTTCACGAGCCGGGTCATACACACACCGAGATGACCCAGGGTTTGACTCCTTGACCTCACTGCCTTTGTTGAGGGTTTCTTTCAGATTTTCAGGGCCTGTGGACAGGTGCTATTTTTTTTCTTGTCAGGGGAATGGCGATATGGCAGTTACTGCCTTTTTTAAAGCATTTTTATGGAAAATGTATAATTAGGAGTTCTAGTGGTCACGCTTTGAGGATTTCTAACCTGCAGTTGGGTGACATGGGCCAGGAACTAGATTTTCTGCGTGCGGTCGCTGTTCCCCTCCCGTGGCCGAAGACTTCCTTCGTAACATCTCGCTCTCTGTGGACGTTGGCCTAACCACGTAGAGGCCAGTCCTCGACACCAGGCGGTTTGCAGCTCACGGTCTTTGAGAAAGAAAACGAACCTTTGGCTTTTTCATCTGTAAAATGGGGTACCGGTGATCATCTCTGTGCTTTCAGGGAAGAACGAAGGGGAGTAAAACCCTGTTCTGTCAAGTGTTGTCAAAACCCAGGACATGTTCTGTGAAAAATTAATCTCTAAGAAAAAGTGGCTTGATTTCTAAATAGCAACTCCTTTCTCGGGCCGCTGTGCACCACGGGGAGGCGGGTCTGACAGATACCGTGGAAGCCCCCTGCCCTGGGCTGGCTGGCCGTCACCTTCGGTTTTCTCAGTAGCCCTGACAAACCACACGGCATGAGGCTGTGCAGCGAGGTGCAGCAATGTTGGCTTAAGAAGCGTGAATTGTTCCTAGGCCTGCTGCAGAAACGACAGCTGCTCAGCATTTTACCTTTCCAGACCTTTCTTTCTTCCAACTTTCTTCCCTAGTACAAGTCCGTTAACCTCTTTCTTATTCACTGAAGCCCCCTCCACCTCTAAAATTCTGTGGTCCTGGATTATTACTCCCACTTTTTATTTATTTGTTTGTTTGTTTTCAGTGAGCATTAGGATTTTGTTCTGTACCAATTCTTGCACAAGTTGCTTGTGATGGTGGGATAGCATCTGTTTTAGAAATAATATGAAAATGTGTGAGTAAGCAAAGTTAAGGCTGTGATTATGAAACAGATAGGAATTAAAGTGTTTTCTTTTTTTTTTTTAAATAGGTTTGTGGTAAGAACGAAAATCACTGTGTATTGTTTCATTTGGCCCTGTATGCAGTCTCAAGAACCTTCTTATCGAGGGGGTGGGAAGAAAAGTGGTATGGGGTGAGAACCCCACAATTCTTATTTGTTTCTGTCTAGTCCAGGAATTCACACTGGAGTTTGGAGTCAAATAATGCAATATACTAATAATATAAGGAGACTAGTTTCAGGGTTTTGAACTGCCCTAGCTGATTCTCTGAAAAGTACTCAAGTGTTATTAGATAAATAAATGCTAGCTGGCTATGTAACCTGGGCAGCATAAACCTGTCAGCACTGCTTCTGGGCAGGAGAACAGAGAAGGGACAAGAGTTTTCAAGGTGTATTGTTTCCATATCCTTTTATTATTTATTTACTCAGGGCACTAGAGTGTTTTTCCATGTAGCTGGAAGGCGGGGTTTGCTCAGTGGAGCCTTCCTATTATTTTTGATTTATTCCTCTATGCCGCCTTTGTTAGTTTACTCTGAATTACACTGTAATTCATGAACATTTGAGAAACCATATGATTTTATCTTTTAAAATGCCATCCCTCCCCGTTTTTCCTATGTGTTGAGTCCTTCCCAGTATCTTAGCCAGTTTGGTGGTGCCGCTCAAAATATTACATTTCCCAGGTGCTCGGGCATTCAGGGCTTCTCTGGTCCATCGGTGACTGTCACTTGTGCTGGAGTACATGACCTGGCTTGTGGAATAGCTGATGGCTTTTCTTTACCCACGTGGTTCCACGCAGTTGACCGAGGGTTGGCTGACCGAAGATAACACATCTGAGTGTGGATGTCTGCTTAGGAGCACAGATCCTAAGAGAATTCTAGAGAGAAGCAAAGAATAACTTAAAAAACTTTTCCAAACTTCTCTTCTCTGACACTGCAAGAACATCCGATGGAGATTATATGCATGACATTTCTTTGATTCATTAGACAAATATCAGTTGTCAGCCTGTGTGTGTATGCTGCGTGGTTTCTAGATTCTTCAAAGCTGCTTCACAATCCTATTGTGCGTGTTCGATGTGCTCCCACTTTAAAGACTGTTTCAAACCTTCCCACACCCCCTTTACCCCTATTATCATCTGCTCATCCTGGTCAGCTCCCCCCGACTCTCCTCCCACCCCCCACCTTCAGATCTTCTGATTTTTTCTCTCTGCACACAACCCCTCCTTCATGGCACTCACCACCCTGGACTGTCTCCCCGACAAAACTGTAAATTCCACAAGGCCAGTCTTTTGCACATTAGGTCCCCAGAAACTATTGTAGACCCTCAATGACCAGCAGAATGAATGAAAAGAAGGAAGATTCCTAGAATATCAGAGCTGCACGGCCTCTAGAGATCCGATCCAATCTCTCCGTGTTCAGAAGGAGGAAACACGCCAAGAAAGATGCTCCTAGAAAGAGCTAGCTGGGCTGGGCGCGGCTGAGGGGAAGTACATCCTTGATCCAGATTCACCAACGCGCCTGTTAAGGGTCTGTCTATGTCTGTCTGTCTGTCTGCATTTGTCTGTCTGCGTCGGCCCTGCCCCTAACTGGTCCCCACCAGAACCCAGCAGGACTCGGTGTCCTGGGCTTTATATGAACTAACCAAAAAAGGACCTTTTCTTCCTCCCTTTCACCCTCCCAGCCTGCATGATCAATCATTATTATTTGTGATGACACTTAATAATATTTTTAAATGCAGACATTTAAAAATGTCTTACTCATTGCTCAGATAATTACTGTTGACATTTTTTAAAAGTAATATATTTCCACATTAAAAAATGTCAAATGGTATAAAAAGGTACAAAAAGAAAATAATTCTACCTGAACCCCAATTCCTCTCCCCATAGGTAACTATTGTTAGGGTGTCGTATGGTTCCTTCTCTGGTATGACAAAACAAAACAAGACAAAGCAAGACAAACCAAATAAAACAAAAGACACACATACACTCACATATATTCATGAACCAGTTCAAATATTTATATATCCTGAACACCTTATTTTGAGCTCTCTACTAAGCACAAACAGATTTTTTTTTTTTTTTGATATATCCCAGACATCTAGAGCAGAACCTGGCACGTGGTTGGTGCAAAGATCTTACTGATAATTCATTTGAGGTTACACTGAAATTAGGGGGCATTGACATTCTTATACTTTTGAGTGTTTTAATGAGCACAGTTCATCTTTCAATTGAATGAATTTTTTTTTCTTTATTCCTCTAGTAGAGCTTTAATGTTTTATTCAATAAGGGTCCTGCACGATATCTTATTCATTTTCCCCCAAGTATTACATTTTTTGTTTTCTTGCTATTATAAATGAGATCTTTTCTCTAAATGCTTATCATTTGTAAATAGGGATTTTCATGAATTAACTTTATGAGCTGCCAACTTATTGAATTTCCTTATTGTTTCTAATGGTTTTTCAGCTTATTTTCTAAGGTTTTCTAGGCATGTGATTGTACTGTCTGCAAGTAATAATTTCTCCCTATTTTCTCTTGTTTCTCCCCCCCCCTTGCTTTATTGTATCAGCTAATATTTGAAAAAAAATGTTTAATTTGTCAATGATGGTAGTGGACATCTTCGTCTCATTCTTACTTTTAAT